GCAGCGGTAGTGAGGTTGGCCCAGGATCGGACATTGTTTCGTTCTGCTGTGCATGGGGTCACTATGAGTCGGTACCGACTCGATGGCACCTGACAACAACAACAACATGTTGTTATTAAACAAGTCATTTAACTTCTCAATGCCAGAGTTTCTTACAACAAGCTTCTTGGGAATATTAAATGAGATATTCATTTCTTTCAAAGGACCTAGTACAGACCACAAACCCAATAAACAGTCTATCACTTCTACTTACTAATACACACCTCATAGACCCATGATGCTAAAGGAGACTTTTACTCTTATGTAAGGGAAATGTGTCATTCAATTTGAAATCTGTGTAACTCATGTTAATTATGGAATTCTATTATACCATAGTCTTGTTGTGTGGTTGTGTACCAAGTTAATTCTAAGTCCTAGTAACAACAGAACAGGGCAGATCTGCCTCATAGAGATTCCTAGGATCTCATCTTTATAAGAGCAAATCACCGGGTCTCTTCTCCCATGGAACTGCTGGTGGGTTTGAACTATCAACCTTTCAGTTAGCAGCTGAGTACTTAACCATTGTGCCACCAGTGCTTCTTTAGATAGCCTTCGGCCCAAAGTTGTTAAGGAAAAAACATACAAAAGAGGTGGCATTTAAGCTATGTGTCGAAGGATGAAAGGGAGAATGTTGAAAAAGCATTTAGAGCAGAGGGAACAGTCTGGGCAAAATTCAATTAAATGAAGTATTCTGTGTTCAGGGAGAGGTCAACAGCCTGAGTGGCTGAACCTACAAGGAACATGGTTGTGGACGGAGCAGGGGCAGACGTGATGGAAGTAGAGAGAAAAGAGCCTCAAAGGAGGCAGGGCCACGTTACGGAGGAACGGGGAGGCACGGAAAGAGCTTGAGCAGGATTTCTATGAAGCACGGTGCCCGGCACCCGGTAGGGCCTCAGAGTAACACACATTTGCTGTATGACTTACTCAAACTCTCTTTTTATTGCTGCTAACCTGGGCGACTTTGTTTTGTTTCTCCAAAGGAACACAGTGTGCCCCTGACATCAGCGGTCCTGCCAAGAGAAGGCTACAAAACACTACCAAATCCTCAGAAGTCAGAATGGACCTATGGCACCTCAGTGTCTCCAGAAAAAAACAGTGTCAGGAGCTTGCCTCTGAGCGGCCTGGTGGAAGAAACCAAGCCAAGCCCTTTTCCCAAGTTTGTCTCTGAGTATACTTCCCCAGAGACCTGGACAAGGTCCCTCCGTCCACAACAGTATAAAGAGGTGTCCCGGCAGAAACAACTCAGTCTTCCAGAAATTGCTGCTTCTGGCCTCCCAGGACCCAGGAAGGAAAGTGTTAGCTACAAGGTTCCCTCAAGCTTTCTGGTTCTCCACGTGGAACAGCAAAACACTAGGCCAAACGTTTATGACATCCCGAAAGCCATATCCAGCGTTCCTGGGGTTACAAAAGAGCTGGACAAAGTAGATGGGCCCACAGGGACCGCTGCGTGGTTTTCCAGATGGGGTACATCTGTGTCTCCTGAAACAGACAGGTTGTCGGTTTCCAGTTCCGAAAGCAGCAGGGCCAGCCTGGCGTCTTCCTGCTCCTCCACGTCCACCGATTCCTCCTCCAGCTCCTCCTCCGAGGAGTCACCAAAGGAGCTCTCCATGGACCAGAATACAGCCAAGGAGACGGTCACGGCCCTGCAGCACAAAGTGGCTGGCGCCGTGGAGAACTTGATGCTCTTCGTCAGCAGGAAGTGGAGGTTCAGAGAGTACCTGGAGGCCAACATCGATGCAGTCCACAGGGCAGTGGACCACACAGAAGAGTCTTTAGGAGAATTTCTGGATTTTGCCCGAGGGGTGCAGGAGACCACCTGTAACCTCATGGATAGTAACCTACAGACCCGGATTAAAGAGCAGCTGCAAACTATCTCCTGTTCCTATCAGATCCTACTCGAAACCAAGAGGAGTCTGGACAGCTGCCACTGGAGTCTGGAAGCTCTTGTGACAGACAAAATCCAAAGCAGCCCGGATGACCTTGAGACATTTGTCACGGTGGCACGGATGGTTCCAGAAGATACGAAGAGATTTACCTTCATGATCATTGCCAACGGGAAGCTTCTTTTTAAGCAGAACTGTGACAAGGAACAGATTGTGCAGTTGGCCCCAAATGCAGACCAGGAGGTTGGAAAAGGCCTCCTGCTCCCCCACGTAGAAATGGAATCTCGCCAGAGGAGCACCGCTTTTAATGAGGAAAGGAGCGGTCAACACGGCTCTGAACTAGCTTGGAAAAAGAGAACCAACGTCTGCGGACAGGTGAGTTCCAAGTTCCAAGCTCCCAGTGGTAGAACCAGGGGGATTTCAGTGGTCACCTGGAGTGGTGGCCACAGAGGTTGATGCCAAGCATCTTTCTACGAGGCATTTTGGGAGATGTCGTTTCCATATTCTGGAAAATGGTATTCACAAGAGCAGAATTCTAGATGCAACCTATTAGCAAGTGAGGTAAATACTTTAATATTGTTGTTGTTAAGTGCCAGTGAGTTGGTTCCTACCCATAGCAACCCTGTATAGGGTTTCTGAGGAGTGGCTGGTAAGCACGAACCGCCGACCTTGAAGTACAAATGACTTTGCAGTCTAGGGCATTAAACCACAGCGCCACACCACAACTACAACTTAATATTAAGGCAGGTTAAAATAATAATAATAATAACAAAATGATTGCTGCCAATTCAATGCCAAGTGTCAGTGACCTTACTGTGTCAGAATAGAACTGTGTTCTGTGGGGTTTTCAGTGACTGATTGGGGGGGGGGGGGGGGGGGACACCAGGCCTTTCTTCCAAGGCACTTCCAAGTTGACTCCAACCTTTAATCTGTTTGCTAGCCACAGAGTGTGTTAACTGTTTGCACCAGAGAGTCCATTAAGACAGACAGGTCAGCATATTTTAATTTCTTCTGGAAATGTTTAGAGTTCTGGTTTATCTCTGACAGTGGAATTAGAAAGGATTTTTATAATATGTTCTTTGAGTAAAGTTTTCAATCTCATCATCAAGTTTCCTTGCAATTAGTCACGGCCAATGTGTTTCTAACAAATAGAAGAGGAAGTAGAAACATTCTTCCAAATTGTTCAGTCTTAGTAGCTTCCAGACTCTTGTTACTCTTAAAGGCTGTGTTAAGTAAGACACTTGAGGAAGAGAATGTTTTGTTCAGGAATGGTGAGCCTCAAGAGATCCCAGCAGGTAGCATGAGAAGCAAGATGGCGCCACCAACCCTAACAAAAGGGCAGCCTTCTTACTTAGCCTCAGTCCTGGTGTTTGGTATAAATGCCTTTTGGGGTAAGAACAGTAACACATTCCAGAGAAGCTAGAAATCTGGACATTTTTAGCTTCCCAGTTTTTTAAATATGTGTGTGTGTGTGTATGTATGTGGTTGTTAGATACTGTCAAGTCAGTTCTGACTCACAACAACACTACATACAACAGTCCTGAATGCTGCACCATCCTCACAGTTGTTGCTGTGTTTCAACACTGGCGTCTTCCTCTTTTTTCACTGACCCTCTACTTTACCAAGCAGGATGTCTTTCTCAAGGGACTAGTCCCTTGTGATAATACGTCCAAATTACATGAGACAAAGCCTCGCCATCTTCACTTCTAAAGAGGATTTTCTGGCTGTACTTCTGCTAACAGAGATGTGCTCTTTCGTTCAGCAGGCTGTGATATATTTAACATCCCTCACCAATACCCTAACTCAAAGTTATCGATTCTTCTCCAGTCTTCCTTATTCATTGCTCCGCTTCCGCAGACACATGAGGCGATCAAAGTACCTAGGCTTGGGTCAGGTGCACTTTAGTTCTCAAAGCGACACATTTATTTTTCAGTACTTTAACATTGGCCTTTTGTAGCAGGTTTGTCAATGCGATTCAGCATTTCATCTCTTGACTGCTGCTTCCATGAACGTTGACTGTGAATTCAAGTAAAATGAAATTCTTGACAACTTCAATCTTTTCTTCATTTATCATGACCACTAGGAGCTTGGTGACTCCACACGATAAGAAATGAACTGGAAACCACAAGGTCTACGGTTCAAGCCTGCCAGCCACTCTGCAGGAAAAAGATGAGGCTTTCTGCTCCATCGAAGATTTAAAAGCCCTGGAAACCCCATACAGGGTCATTATGAGTCAGAACTGACTCAGTGGCACTTAACAACAACATTACGATAACTTATAAAGTGTGTCTATTTATACACATATAATTCTATGATTTTTAAAAATACTACGTAGGCCATGAAATTAGGCGGCGTTGATAGTCAGCTACCAACAAGTTAGGGTTGTTTGTCACTCGAAGTGGCAAACACAAGGCCGAATGTTCAAGTTAGAAAGCGAACTTAAAGAGCTATTGGTTCTTATTGTGACTCACAGCGACCCTATAGAACAGCATAGAATTGTTCCATGGGGTTTCTGAGGCTGAAATCTTGACATCATCAGGTCTTTGTGCCACAGAGCGGCTGGTGGATTCCAACCGCCATGCAGTTGAGTGCTTAGCCCACTGTGCCACCACAAAGCGCTCTATAAAAACCCACCCACTACCAGTGAGTGGATTCTGACTCGTAGCCATCCTCTAGGACAGACTAGAGTTGCTTCTTAAAATTTCCGACACTATAAATCTTTTGTCTCAGCTTTCTTCTGCAGAGCTGCTGCTAGATTTGAACCACCAGTCTTAGGTTAGCAGTCCAAGAGAGTCCACCAGGGCTCCAAAAGCATTAAAACCATTCAAGTTGGTCATTCAAATGGTTTCTATTTTTCAGAAGTTATCCAACAGAGAAAAAGAAGAAGAAAAACTCCTCTCAGAACAAAGAGCAGATAAAAACAAGGACTTAAGAACCCAGGTAAATTACAATGCTTCACACTCCAATAGTTCCCGTTTTAAAAGCTTGATTCTTAGAGACAGTTCATCACGCTACGAATAATTTAACATTATCACCAAGAGAGACCCACGTGGGGGAGATCCGGTGTTGTTTGCCCAGTGTTCCCTTTTTAGCAGCGGGAGGAATCCTGGGGGGTGGCTGTGGACGAGTGAGATGGCTTTGGGTGGCTGCCACCTTTCCTGGGGGTGGGCCATCATGGTGGTAGCACTCAGCACTAAGTCATAGCCCGGCAACACTCTCTTTTCCTGCCTCTGTTTCAGTTGGGGGCTTGCGGACCTTGGGTATCTCTTTTGTACTTGATGTTGTGTTTCCTTTTTGTCCCTCAAAAATGCTGTCATTGCACCTTGTTTTTCAAGACATTCTTTCTTTCTTTGAAGCTGTAATTGGGTGAAGGTTTCCAGAACAGATCCGTTTTCCACTCAACAGTTCCACACACATTTTGTTTCACTTCACTGATTGCGATCCCCACAGTGTAGCACCACACACCCCACCTCCTCCCTGGGTCCCCCATTTCCATTCTTCCTTCTTTCCTGACCATTCCTGTTTTGTAAGCTTTGTTTCTGGGCAAACGCTGCCTGCTGCCCTCGTGATCTCAAATGACTGATTACCCTGAGGCCCATGTATCTCCCTAGCTGTTACTGTTCCCTTTGGAGGCCTTTGTGTTGTACTGTGGAGATTGAACCACCGCTAAATTCAGTCCCAGGCCTGAAAGGTGACTGAAGACCACAGTCTCCAGTGTTCCATCAGTCTCTGTGCAACCAGTAAATCAGTCTGCTCTTTTTTTATTTATCATTTTGAGCTTGGGTCCACATTTTCCTCCTACTTTATCCAGAATCTTATAACGTGATCCCTTTGAGAGCAGTTGGTTGTAATAACAGGCGACTGAGGTTCATATGGTGAGCATTGTAGCTGACTTTTGTTCTGAAGTCTTTGTTTTTCCATATGTCTTTCATTTTCATCACTTTTTTGGTTCGGGACAGGGAGAAAACCAATAGCTGGACTTTAGATGGCTGCTCACAGCTTTTAAGGCCCCCGGTTGCTGCTCACCAAATTAGGATATAGAACATTAAAGCAGACATTCTTTACTAGTTAAGCTAAAATGTTGTTGCTTTCAGAAGACTTCAGGGAATTTTTTTGGTTTAAAATTTAAAGATGATCTCAGGGCAATAGTTTCAGGGGTTCATCCAACCTCTGTGGCTCCAGAAAGTCTGGAATCTGTTATTTTACAAAATCTGTTCAGCATTTCCTCCCTTTTGGTCAGGATTCTTCTATAGATGGTTGACAAAAATGTTGTTGTTGAGTGCTGTTGAGTCAGTTCCAATTCATAGTGACTCTGTGTTTCCAAGGTATGGCTGGTGAGTTTGAACCACCGACCTTGCAGTTTGCAGCCCAGTGCTTATCCTACAGCACCAAGTCAGGACTAACCGAGCATAATTCCAGTTCTTCGGGTCTCATGACAAAGGAGGCAGCTGTTCGTGGAGACAATTAGCCGCACGTTCCTTATCTGCTTCTTATTTATGCCTCTCCTTTTTCCTCTACTGGGCCTCGGAAGGCCACTTGCAAGCTTTTAAAACCCCAGGGACTATGAAACAAATAATTAGGTTCTACCTCCTAGTTTACTGTACTTTATTTTTATTGGTTGCCTTCTGTTTGTGGAAAATGAATGAGCTCTTCCATTTACCAATCCCAAAAGTTTCTTTGAAAATTAATCTAAGTAAAAACGAGGATATTTAAAGACAAAGATACAGAAAGTGGGACTTTAAGAGGAAGGAGGAGAGGGCAGAACATGCACTGGTCGCCTGTGGGTAGCTGAGGCCCAGGAAGAAGTGAAGCTGTTCAGTAACCTGGACGCTGGGAGCTAGAGGGGACAAGATGTTGAATGTCTTAGACAAAGTCATGAGACCTCAGAGGGAACCCAGGACGAGAACCCGAGTCTCTTCCCCAAACCCCAAACACTAAGCCTGGGCCTGCCATATCATTGAAAGTCATGTTATTTTGTTCAACAGAAAGTGTGTAGACCCATGATTCTTCTCACAATCACCTATAAAACAAACAAACAAAAACCCCAAACAAACCAGTTGCCAGTGAGTCAGTCCCAACTCATGACAACTCCACATCTGCAGAGTAGGAGTGTGCTCCAGAGGATTTCAAGACGGTGACCTTTCAGAAGCAGATACTCAGGCCTCTGTGTGGTTTTGAACCACCAACCTTTCAGCTGGACTCCTGGTGTGGTGCTGTAGGATCAGCACTGGACTGCAAACCACAAGGTCAGCAGTTCAAACCCACCAGCTGCTCCTCGGAAATCCAGTGCAGGGTTGCTATGAGTGGGAACCAACTCGACAGCACTTAACAACAGCAATCACAACCATTCAGCTAGCAGCCAAGCACGTATCCACGGGCACCATGCAGAGACTCCACAGTCACCTGCAGGACTTGGGGAAACACAGACGACTGGCCCCACTCCCAGAGTTTCTGATCCAAGAGGTCTGCAGTGAAGCTCACGCATGTGTATCACAAAACTAGTCCTCAGGTGCCGGGGATGTTGATGCTACCGTCTAGGGACCACCTCTGAGAAGCACTGCCCGGTGCTGAGCATGTGTCTAGGTGTGGAAAGAGGGCACTATTGACCTTTTGGTGGGCACTTTTCCATTGTGCAGGATAGACTGGTTGGCATCCTTAGTGTCCTGCCTACAGTCTACACTGTTCCCTTTTCAATGTGCCAAGCAAAAAATACGAGGGGGCTTCAAAAGTTTGTGGATAAATAAAATCTAAAGGTAATAGCATTTTCTCATGAGCCCCCTCATATGTCTCCACACATTTCCAACAACCCAGGTTGAGAACGGTGGTATGTTATTCATTTACCCATCGTTAATGCTTTCAAACTGTCGTTTTTGGTGCAGTCAAGTTGATTCTCTGACTCATAGAAACCCAGTATGACAGAAGAGAACACTCACTTAGTGTTTCCTTTGTTGTCGTCTTCACTGGAATAGATGGCCCAATCTTTCTTTTTTTCAAGCTTGCTGTTGTTGTTAAGTGCAGTGGAGTCGGTTCCAACCCATGGCGACCTTGTATAGGGTTTCCAAGGAGCGACTGGTGAGCGTGACCCACCGATCTTGCAGTTCAAACGACTTTGCAGTCTGACGCATTAGCCCACAGCGCCACATCAGTACTCCCTTTTTCAAGCTAAGATACCAATATTCCAATACCTAAATTGTTGTTTTTCATTATTCATTTCATCTCCACTGCCCCAATAGAATTCATCTCCACAGATACCAGATCTTTGCTTTGCTTTGTTTTATTAAAATAATACTTGTTTTTATTCTCCAAACATAAAAACGAATCATGAACTTTTCTCCTCTATCTTGTTTCATATTTGTCTGTCTTATGTCATACTTACTAAGTGTTTTCAGACTATGGGTTCTGAGATCACACAGATAGATGAGAATATATGTTGAATCGGTTCCGATCTATAGCAACCCTGTATAGAGTTTCCAACGAGCGGTTGGTGAGCTTGAACTGCCCACCTTGTGTTTCAAAAGGACCTTGCAATCCAGCGAGTTAACCCGCAGCGCCACGTCAGGGCCCATACAGTTTAAAAGAAGAATGAATTTCAGATTTAGCGGCTCCGGATGAAATTCACTAAACGAGTGATGAAATTCACTAATTGAGTGAGCTTCCGGCAGTCCCCCGTCTGCTCGGCACTTCTGTTTCCTCCTCTATAACGTACTAAGGGACTTTCAGTCGTTACCTGTAGTGGTCACCACTCAGCTAGGTGCTGGGTGTCTTTCAACAATGTACAGGCTCTGGGTAGATATCGGCTCCATAATCCAGAAAATGAAATTCACCGAAAACAAATATTTTAAGATTAAGGCCGGTAAGTCAGCGTATTTGGATTTCTTCTAGAAATTTTTGGAGTTCGAGTTTACCTCTGATACTGGAATTAGAAAATGATCTTTTAAATATTTTTAAATATGCCATTTGAATACAAGTTTCCTTGCATTTTTGAAAGGAAAAAGTTCAGTCATTTCATTGTCAAGGTATTTTTTAGAATAGGTTTGGTGCAAGTTGCTGAGAAAAATGAGTCTGTATGTGTATGTGTGTGTGTACATATATATATGCAAGTAGGTTACAGAAAGTTCATGGAAAAATTCCATTAACTTTCATTCTCCTTTTCCAGAAACCTTTTCAAGCCGCTGCATATGTGTATGTAGACACACGCACATCTAAAACCAAACCAGTTGCCACACAGTCAGTTCCAACTCGTGGTCACTTGTGTGTTTCACAACTGTGCTCCATAAAGCTTTTAATGGTTAAAGTGCTATAGAGAAAACACTCAGCCACAAGGCTGGTTTGAACCACAATGTCAGCAGTTCAAACTCACCAGGCACTCCTCGGAAACCCAACAATCTTTTGTTGGGGAGCCCTGGTGGTACTGTAGGATAAGCACTGGATTTTGAACCACAAGGTCGATGGTCCAAGTCCACCAAACAGCTCCAAGAGAGAAAGATGAGGCTTTCTTCTTCCTTAAAGATTTACAGCCTCAGAAACTCTATCCCCAACTCAAGGCACTTAACAACAACAATCTTTTATAAAGGAACCCTGGTGGTACATTGTTTAAAGTGCTTGACTGCTAACCAAAAGGTTGGCAGTTTGAACCTAGCAGCAACTCCATGGGACAAAGATGTGGCAATTTGCTTCTCTAGAGCTTTGCAGCCTTGGAAACCGCATGTGACAGTTCTACTCATCCTCTAAGATTGCTATGAGTCAGAATCCACTGGGGGGCACTGGGTTTGTTTTTCGGGTTAATTTAGATCACTGAGGCCCCTCTGGGTGGACTTGACATATAGTCTCGTATATATTTGACGTATCTATCAAACCCATTGCCGTAAAGTAGTTTCTAAGTCCTAGTAACCCCATGTGTTTCAGAGTAGAACTCTGCTCTCTAGGGTTTTTGTACAGAGGGTCACTGTGGGTAGGAACTCGGCAGTACTTAAAAACAGCAGCAGCCTCCTGGAAACAGATTGCCAGGCCTCAGTGGTAAACAAATGTTGTGGTATTGGGTTTCCAAAAAAACAAACTGCTTTTTATTACAGAAGGTCTTACAAACTGCAAAAAAAACAGGAAAAGAGGCAACCACAGCCTGCCGATTGTATCTCATTCTTATCTCTTGTTTCTTCCCCTGCTCCAGAATACCAGCTCTCCGATCACCCAACCTTCAAGTCAGCAGAATATGGAGAAGAAAATCCGCCTTTCTGAACACTGCCGGCTGTATTTCGGGGCTCTCTTCAAAGCTCTCAGAGTGATTACCAGCAGCCTCAGTAACAGCCAGCCCCCAGAGACCTTCGTCACGCAGAGCAAGCTGGTCATCGTGATCGGGCAGAAGCTGGTAGACACGTTGTGCAAGGAGACCCAGGAACGGGATGCGCGCAACGAGATCCTGAGTTCCAGCAACCTCTTGTGCAGCCTGCTCAAGAGCCTGGCACTAGCCACCAAGGACGCTGCTCTCCGCTACCCGAGCCCCGCAGCCCTGCGGCACCTCCAGGCCCAGGCTGAGAAGCTAGAGCAACACACAAGGCAGTTCCGAGGGGCGCTGCAATGATGCTTCCGGAGGGCCTCCTTCCCCTGTTGACCGCTTCACACCCAGCACCTGGGCAGCTCTGCCCCGTGGGAAAGAGCCAGCTGGGGACACCAATGGTCTATCACTGCCATGGTGCCCAAAGCCAGTATTACCGAGTGGCTATGCAACCCCAGAGGAGCCCTGGTGGTGCAGTGGTTAAGCACTTGGCTGCTAGCATACAGGTCTGGAGTTTGAACCCAGTAGCCACTCTGCAGGAGAAAGATGACAGCTTTGGAAACCCGATGGGCAGGTCTACCCTGTCCAGTACATCACTGTGAGTCAGCATGGACTGGACAGCAACAGATTTAAGCAACCCCAGGACACTGGCTAAGCTCACACAGGGCCAGGGAAGTGAGACAAGTTCATACAGTGCCGGTGGTGTAAGTGATTTTTCAGAAACCAGTTTTCCTATCTGTGAAATGTGTGCACCTTTTCAATCCATTCAACACTTACTCACTGACCACCTGCTACGTGTGACTACTTCTCGGTGCTTGAGATGGAACAGCAAACCAGAGGGCCTGCCCACATGGTGCTTGTACTCCAGTAGGGGAGACAGTGAGTGCCAGCAAAGAGACATGTCAGCAACATGCCAGGGTTGATTGGTGAAAAAATAGAGCATAGGAAAAGACTCATTTTCAAAAGGTTCATTTCTTTTGCATCTGTGAGAAAATGTAGTGTGTTTTTTGTTTTGGATAGAATTAATTCTGTGATAGTGATACAAATTATGTACACTTACCCCTCACTGTGGAGTTCTGATATGGCGCTGTGAGCTAATGCACTGGACTGCATAGTTGGTTTGCAAGTTTGGCGCAAGCTCGGTGGTTCAGTCTCACTAGCTGCTCCTCAGAAACCCTATGCAAGGTTGCTAGGGGTCAGAACCAACTTGATGGCACTTAACAACAATAACCCCTCATTTGGAGTCCTGATGTGGTGCTGTTGGAATAAGTACTGGGCTGCAAATGCAAGATCGACACTTCAAATCCACCAGCCACTCTTGGAAACCCTAGACAAGGTCGCTATGGATCGGAATCGACTCGACGGCACTTAAGAAACAACCCCTCACTGATTGACTACCTTGCTATCCAAAATTTTATGTTTATGGCAATATGCCAAACCAAACCCACTGACGTCAACTTGGTTCTGAGTCATTGGAGCACTGGTGGCACAGTGGTTAAAGCACACCACTGATCACCGAAAGGTCAAAGGTTGAAAAAAGGTGTGACAATTGGCTTCCAAGAGATTTGCACCTTTGAAAACCCAATGGGGCAGTTCTAATCGGTCCTATAGGGTCGCTATGAGTGTGCATTTACTTACGACAATAGTAAGCAAAACATATAGTAAAAAATAGTACAAATTCTGTTTTGCTCATTAACTACCTACATCTGGCAATAACTCGCACTGAGGTGTGAGGCGAGAGTCATGTTGCTATGATGGTTCAGGCTAAAAGCCAACTTGTCTGAGCCATGATTCTCTGTGGTTTGGCAGTTATATACCAATTTTATTTGGCAGTTATATGATAATGTGATTTGGCAGTTATATACCAATTTGATTTGGCAGTTCTATAATAATGTGATTTGGCATTTATATAATGATTTGATTTGTAGTTATATCATGTTGTGGTCATCCTTGATTTTCACATAATGACCTGGTTTTTGGAACCTAAACCACTGAATAAGTGGAGAGTGGTTGTATCTGTGTTTTGTACCCAATATATATAAATATATAAATAGATACATAGATATACATATATATTTATAGTGAAACTTGTGAGAGCCGAAATTCGATGGTACTGCCTCATTTTTCCAGATCTTGCCCGTTTTCCACCTTGGACAGGGTGCTACCTTACCAGTTTTTATTGCTCATTTTAGTGGAAGATTTTGAGAGTTCCTTCTCTGATGGGTTCTACATTACACAGGTTCCAGCTTTCACAGGTTTCCTATATACACAGGTATGCACTTATATATGTGTATATAGATAGTCACACATACATAGGTATGCGATTTCACCTTAACCTAGTTAAAGATATGTATTATATTTACAACTTAACATGTTCTGCTGGATTCCCTGTTAATTTATTTTTGTGTATTATAGAGTCTGTGTTGATAAATGCAGTATGCTCTGTCAGAAAACGTTCATACATCAACAGTCTCAAATCCTCTGTTGCAATTGATACGATTATTTAAATACAGTCATGGATTTCAACATTCTTTGTAGCAGTCCTTTCTTTGGAAAAGTCTTTGATCTATATCGTCAGTGTTTGGATACTCGGGTCAAGTCAACAGCCACACCCTGTTCCCTGCACAGAGATGCAGCAGAGACAAACATCTGTGCACAGCCGGCTCGGGGAAAGCCAGCCAGAAGCGTGCAGTGTGGGCAATATGAACATCGCTGGGCACAGATCTGGAAGTTCCGCAGAACTGCCCTCAACTCAAACCACCTCCTCTTCCTCCCCTGACAGTTGTGTCTTCAGTCCAGTGTTGATATGGTTACATCACCCCTTCACTTCAAGGGAAGGCCCACATCTCTGTATTCATCTCAGCCACATAAACACGTTTGCAGCCTGCAAACAACGTTCCGAGGCAGGAAGCCACTTCAGATAGTACCAAGTCCAGCTTCCTTCTACTACTCCACACTCGGTAACCACTTGCAGAGTCCACACAGGCTCATAGTGACCCCAGGTGTGTTAGGGTAGAACTGTGCCCCGTGGGGCTTCCAGTGGGGTCTTCTGGAAATACATCACCAGGCCTTTCCTGTGAGGTGCCTCTGGGTGGAACTCCAACCTCCAACCTTTTGGTTGGCAGCTGAGTGTGTCAACCATTTGCACCAAGCAGAGACTCCTGCACTTGGTCCTGAAACCCAGAAGTATCACCATTAAGTTGGCTCGGACTCACAGCAACTCTATAGGATACAGTAGAGCTTCCCTATGGTGGTGGTGGTGGTCATGTGCCGTGGAGTCGGTTCCAACTCATAGCAACCCTGTAAAGGATTTCTGAGGCTGTAAATCTTTATGGGAGCAGAAAGCCTCATCTTTCTCCCGTGGAACAGTTGGTAGTTTCAAACTGCTGACCCTGAGGTTACCAGCCCGATTCATAACCACTACGTTACCGGAGCTCCTTAGAACTTCCCTATAGGGTTTCCAAAGCTATCATCTTTAGGGTGGTGATCATTACATCTTTTTTCTGCAGCTGCCTGTCATTGGTACGTAATTTAAAAATATTGACCGCTAGAACGCTGGTTGTGTTTTATTGTGTTGGACTTACAAGATGAATCCCATCTCCATGAAGCTTGCTTCTCTCAGAGCAGACAGAGAGACCCTCCAAAGGGCCATGTCTTTGAATGTCTATGGTGATAGAAAACCATACCTGTCTACCTGAAGCATTAAAGATATGTATCTTAAAATATGGAGTCCTGGTGTGGTGTGTAGGATAAGCACTGGACCTACCTCAAGGTTGATTTGAACCACAAGGCCGGCAGTTCTAACCCACTAGCCGCTCCTTGAAAACCCTAGACAAGATCGCTATGAGCTGGAACCAACTGGAAGGCACTTAACAACAACAATCTTAAAATAATCCACAAGTAGACTGGCTTCCACCGTGGATGGATTCAGGGGCTCCGAGAGTAGTCACAAAGACCATGTCTCAATTCCACTTTCTCTACGTTCACTCTCATTGCAAAGTGTTGTCCCAAGTTATGTCCTACAGGGTTTATGGCCAGAGAAGAAGAAAAATGAAAGGTTACCTACAAAGAAGAACCAGTAAGATTAAGCTCTGATTTCTCAACAGAACCCATGCAGGCAAGAAAGTCATGGGGAGACATATAAAAAAACTCTGAAAGAAAAAAAAAAATTACTCTTCAGGTGTGTCTGTCCCTGCATGTTCCATGATGGGCTGACCTAGAGCTGAAATCTACACACATGCACACTCTCCCATGTGTCCTGAGAGAGACAGAAGGTCGGCTCTGTCAAGACCTTGACATAAACTCTGAGATTTTACACTATGTCCAGTGAGCCTGTCACTGTTTCATAGGTGCTGAAAGAAGACCCGAGATTCCGGGATCAGAGACAAAGGTTCCTTACTTTACAGTGCAGCAAACACATCCATTTCCCGTGTCCCTCAATCCCAGGGCATGAAGCAGAGGCAGTCTCAGGCAGATGCTATGCTTGTGCCAAAGCCAAGGGACCCGTGTAGGAAACTCCAATCTTTGATAGGGGGCTTCATGCAAACCTGACCAACGTTTGTCTCACAAGGTGACATCTTTACTATATTGAACTACAGACAAGTCTACTTTTCTGCTCTGGAGGGAGACACTATCCTCCAAGAATCTTGGTTACAAATGTCCCTGACAAGATTGTCCAGGACAGAATGCTGTCGGTGCCTCTGCCCAGAGACCCATGGATAACTGTCTCCTGACAGATCCTCTAGTCAGGACTGTGGTTGGAAGGAGGAGGCATTGTGGCAGGGAGACAGATAATACATTTTTGCTCCTCTGGGTACAACTATTTTTCACATAAAAACATTGTTCTTATTGGTAAGTGCTGTCGAGTCTGACTCATAGTGACCCTGTATAAGGTTTTTGAGGAGCGGCTGGTGGGTTTGAACCACTGACCTTGTAGTTCAAACTGACCTGTCAGCCCAGTACTTATCCTACAGTGCCACTCCAGGGCTCCACATAAGAATACACATTATTAAATGATTATTGCATAGAATCCTGGTGTGGCGCTGTAGGATAAGCACTGGACTGCTAACTGCAAGGTTGGAGGTTCAAATCCATCAGCAAACCCAACTGTATGGCACTTAACAACAATAGGCACTTGTTCTAATGTTTTAAATGTTTCAACTCAGTCCTCCATAAGCAAACTACTCCCTATTACGTAATGAAGAGGTCCTATTGGTTTTAGGAACATACATATAAGGGAGCATCAAAAAGTTATACATGTTTATATATGTTGTTGTTAAGTGCCAGCGAGTCAGTTCCTACTCATA